TAAATCCCAGGAGGACCCTTCTCGAAGTCAAGAATCTGAGTGTTCGGGAAAGGGGACGTTTGCCAAATGAGAGCTGAGGCATCACAAATAGACTGGGATGTTTTCTGCTCTGGAAACGTTAACGAGGACTGGAATTTATCCAAGGATCGGTTGCTGCATCCAATAAAGAGCCACCGTCCCTTATCAAAGCCTAGGACATCCAACGGCCCTCAGGGCTAACACGAGAACTAAAAAGGAGATCAACAAGAAAGAAAGTTTGTGGAAGAAGTTTCTCGAAAACAACAACATTGCAGCGTTTATAGAATATAAATTTGATTTAATTTAATTTAATTTATTAAATGCCAGTTTACAGGCATTGTCAAGGGAAGCGAGTAAACACAAATCCGACCAGCATTGAAAAAAAAACTCCTGAAGAATAAAAATATAGTTGATGGTGGATTTTATGGTTTAGAGGGTTCAGGAGAAAAAACTGCTGGCGGTAGATTTTCGACCGTCAAGAAGTGGGGAGGGGGTTGCACGGTATCGGAGATTATCGGACGTCAATTCCTTTCATGAAGTTGAGGATAGTCAAAGTAGAGGCGTTGAGAAACAGCTGGTGAGACCGGCCATAGTGTTCAAAGACCACAAACGCCATCGCTACGGTAGAGTCGGTCAGTGGATTTCGCGCCCAAAATGTGTGGGAGCTTTTCTGAATGCAAAAATCGAGTAATAGTTCTCTTAAATAAAGGATAATTTTGCAGATTTTTCACACTCATGGGTAGTTTATTCCAAATAGCAATTGCATTTACAGAAAATAACCAATGACATTTAACACTACGTGCCAGAGGAAGAAATAAGAAGACCTAACGGTGACTGTTACGTCGTGGGTGGATATGGTGTCTTAAAGAAGTGAGTGGATTAAATGTGTGATTATATAAGAGTTTAAATTGCAGAAATATTTCCTTTTGTAATCTACGGAACCATAAAGGATCAAGGCCCGTAAGCCGTCAACGTTCTTGGTAAGACAAATGTCGGTGTTCTGGGGTTACAATTCTACTGGTAAAAAAGTGTTGAAAGGATTCTATTTTCTTCCGTTCAGTAGCATGCATGAGGCTAAAGAAAAACGAACAGTATTCCAGACCAAGTCTAACGTACATGTTGAAAAGGCGCATTCTGATGTCCCTAGTTTTAAAGTTTCGGAGGATAAACCCGGTCGTTCTGCGTGCTTTGGAGACTATCAAGGCACAGTGCTCCGAGAGATTAAGACTCTTGGAGTATGATATACACAGATCCTTAATAAACCTGGGCACATTTATCGAGTGATCTTCAATATTTAGTTGAGGTTGGTGGTCGTCGCCAACCACCATGACTGAGCACTTATGCCAAGAAAGAGAAAGGCGCCATGTGCGGCACCACTGGGCGAAAGCCTGTAGATCGCTCTTTAGGAGCTCAAGCACGATGGCACGATCTGCCGGCTTATATCGATATGCAACTTTAAGATCATCAGCATACATGAAAGGCTTACCATTCTGAAATAAATCGGGTACATCATTAACGAAAAGGCAAAATAAAAGCGGGCCGAGTACACTTCCCTGAATGACTCCACTCCTCACACGTGTGGGGTTGGAGATAGTATTGGAAATCTTAACTCGTTGTGTACGAGTGCCCAGGTAAGAGGATATAAAATTCAAAAGATTGCCACCTATTCCGAAAGAGGACAGTTTCAAGAGGAGAAGAGCATGGTCAACACGATCAAAAGCCTTAGTGAAATCGAAATATACTGTGTAAAGTGCAAAACCATTGTCCCTAGATTGGAGAACATAGTCAAAGAAAGAGAGTTGACAGGTGTCACAAGATCGAGCTTTGAGGAATCCATGCTGAGCAGCACTCAGTAAGTTATTCGCAGTTAAGTGACACATCATCTTATCCTTAATCAATGTCTCTAAGATCTTCGAAACTGCGGGGAGGGTGTTTATTGGCCGAAATTCATCAAATGAGGTAGATTTACCTAGCTTAGGCATGGGCAAAATGTGTGATTCCTTCCACAAGGTAGGATAAGTTTCACTTTCAAGAGCAGGATTAAATATCTTGCAGAAGAGGGATGGAAAAATCGTATTTACATCGGCTTTCAAAATGCTTACTGGGACACCATCAGGTCCTGGACTATAAGATTGATGAAGACGCCGATTCGCAACAGTCACATCCCACAGAGTGAAAGCTATAGTTTCTGAACTGCCTTGGTCAATGGCTGGATGGTCGGAAGTGGAGTAGTCGAGTCTTCAATGAACGTTTTGGGCAGGAAATCATTGAAGCTATCAGCGGTTAACTGGGCATAAACTATGGGATGTTCGAGAGCGTCTCGGAGGATGGGATGCTGCGTTTTTCTATGAGTTCGTATTTTTCTAGAGAAAAGTTTCGAGACATTTAACGAATGGTTTTCGGTAAACTGGACCTCTTCGGCTAGCTGTTTTTCTTCAGACAATCTCTTAGCTCGGTCAAAAATATCACGAATCGAGGGCAGGACAGAAACATCGTTCTGAAGATGGAAACGACGATAAAGCCTGCGCAATCTGCGACGAAAGGGTAAAGGTAGGAAAACCTCATCCCCAACATTAATAATTTTGTTACGGGGGACAAAACGAGAAATAAGCGGATCCAGAATTTCGTACAGATTTGCAGTGCAAACATTTACATCCGAACTAATGAAGAACTCATTCCAGTCGTAGGAATTAAGGTGTGTGAATAATTCGGTTGACGAGTTGATCGGAAATCGCGGAAAAAGCTATACTTTGGGGTGAAACCCTGAATTTCAAGAGGCGACGGGATTTCGATAGTAGTTTGCTTCACCGAGCCGTAAAAAATCCGAAATTGCTCTACAGCTATTTATGGAAGAACACACGTAACAGGAATCCCATTCCTGTCATGAGGAATGATGACGGTTTGGAGATATCGGACAGTAGAAATAAAACTGAGCATTCTTCTTATTTTTTCCTATCCGTTTTCACAAGAGAAGCAGACTATCGTCCCACTAGTTCCGAGAACATGGGAGATCCCACTATCGAAGATATCGTGTTTCGAGAAGAAACGATTTTCGAAGAACTAAAAAGCTTGAAGGAACTAGCTACTATTTGATATTACCCGACAGCTGGCCGAACCACCATCCTTTTTGTGCCAGGAATCGTTTGATGTTGGAATCCTTCCCACAAACTGGAAGACGGTCCACACTACACCCCTTTACAAAAGCGGTAGTCGTGCTCTTGTGATGAACTACAGACCCGTCAGACTGACATCAATCTGCTGCAAAGTGATGGCGAAAATCATAAAAAAGAATTTTATGGCTTATCTGGAAAGCCACAACCTCTTGTCCACTGCACAACATGCTTTCCGTAGGGGAAGATCATGTGTAACAAACTTGCTATATACAACGTAAAGTTGGACAAGAGCACAGGACGCAAAACACACTGTGCGCGTGGCCTATATTTATTTCTGGAAGGCGTTCGACAGTGTTCCGCACCAAAGTCTCTCGCACAAGTTGGGAATAATGGGCATCGGCAGAAAACTTCCCAAATGAATCGCGAATTTCCTCGTCTGCCGTTCCCAAATTGTCTGCGTAGAACAACAGCAATCAAGACGCACATTCATGGAGAGTGGAGTCCCACAAGTCTCGGTGCTCGAACTAACCCTCTTTCTCTTGTTCATGAATGATTCCGTAGATGGGTTGGACTGTGCTAGTACCATATTTGCGGATGACATAAAAATCTGGAAAGTCATCCTGAATGCTGCCGATGAGACCAAATTCCAAGAAAATATTTGTCGATTGGACGAGTGGTTCCGCAGATGGCTCTTGTCTTTCAATTTGAACAAATGTCCCATACTGCGCCTCAGAAATCGGATCCCTAGTACGCGGCAATACCATCAGAACGGAATACCACTTCGAGATGCAGAAACGCAGAAAGATCTCGGAGTCTGGGTTGCAGACAGCCTATGGCCTTCTACACAATGTTGTAAGGCGACCAAGGTAGCAACTTCAATGCTATATGCCATCAAGCGGGCATTCGCAGATTTCGATGAAGACTGCTTCCACAATGTCTTCGGCACGTTTGTAAGGCTGCATCTCAAGAGTGCAATTCAGGTCTGGAGACCGTGGACGCATCGGGATTACAATCCGCTCGAAAGGATGCAGAGGCGAGCAACAAAATTAATAAGAGGTCAAAGTGCAGTGCCATACGAGATCAGCTTAACTAACCTTAATCGATATCCTCTAAGTTATAGGCAGTAGCTCGGAGATTTGATATAAACTTTCCGTATCATGCGTGGCTTGGACTGCGCCCTTCGGTGAGATGACTTTTGCCAACTCGCCACAGCAACTAGCCTCCAGCACATCTCTTCAAGCCACTTGTGCCCCAGGGTAGATTCAATGTGAGAAAGTGTTTCTTCTCCAACCGTCCCGTGGAACCGTGGAATAGCCTGCCCGAGACGGTTGACATGTCTCAATCTGTGAAGACATTTAAATGTCGGCTTAGCAGACATGTGCTGCAGCAACAAGCGGACTATGGGACTTTTTAGCCATGAGACCAGTTACAAATGTGAATCGATATCTGCATACACTTAATGCTGTAATTTCTTCATATTTTTTGATTATTTATCGATTTTCTATGTACATATAGGGAGTTCAAAGGGGTAAGCCTATTTCCCTCAAATGTACTGACTGACTGACAGTTAGGAATGCTGGGTAGAAAGGACCAACGGTGGCACCAAAACAATAACGTTCAACTAGAACAGAACGATGACGCCGATCCCGGACCCAGTCATGTGACACCATAAGATAGCAATATAAGTTTTGCCGCGCCCCCAATACCGATCAACCAGTACTAGAAATTGACTGCCAAACAAGACACACAAAACAAAAGGGCTGATTAAGCACACCAGCACAACCAAAACGCCTTAAGTAGATAAATATTACAAATAGGAGTTCGCTGATAGAAGCGAACAGGCGAGTTCCAGGTAGCAGAACAGAAGAACTACGGCTGGAACCGCTGGTTTTCCGACATCACAGACCGAAATTCTGGGCTCGGTATGTGGATGACACCTTCGTCGTCATCGAACGGGATCAGGTACTGACATTCAAAGAACATCTCAACGCCGTCTTCCCGGACATTCAATTTACGATAGAGGAGAAGGAGAACAATCATTTGGCCTTCCTGGATGTCCTCGTCTGCCGCAAAGATTGTGGTGACCTAAAAACTAAAGTGTTCAGGAAAGCTACAAATACGACGCAAATACTGAACTGCAATAGCAACCACCCGATCAGTCACAAACGCAATTGCGTAAGGGCGCTATACCGGCGCGTTGAGACGCACTGCAGTGAAATGGAAGACAGGATTAATGAATTACAATATCTTCGACGGATAATGAGAGCCAACGGTTACTCGCGCAACTTTGTCAACCAGTGCATACAAAAAGGACACCAGAGACCAAATCCAACCGGCCCCAAATTTTGGTGGGCTTTTCCGTACGTGGAGAACGTCTCGGAAGCCCTCAGTCGTCTTTTCACTCCACTTGGATTTGGGGTCGCACACAGGCCTGAAGCAACCATTAGGCGCCAAATCATGAGACAAAAAGACCCCCTGCCACGGCAGGAAACGTCTGGAGTCGTTTGCCGGATCTAGTGTAGTTGCGGACAAAGCAACTATGTCGGAGAAACTTGGAGATTACTCCGTATGCGAATTGCCGAGCACGCAGCAGCAGTGAGGCGGGGAGACGCTAACTCTCAGGTGGCGACTAATTCGACGAGACCCAGCCATATCTTCAAATTTCAAGAGGCCGAAATCCTCGCAAGAGGTGACAACCGCGTGAGCCGCGAGCTGCTCGAGTCATGGTTCTCAGACCCGCAATCCATCAACAAGCACAATGACCTCCCGGTACCATATTCCGTGCTGCGACTTTCCCTGGGCAGGAGAATCAGTCATGTGGGGAGGGCGCGGGTGAGCAATTATCAGGGTGACAGTGAGCCAGTTTGCCGAGCAATCGTCACACCAGCATTCAGCACGGATGACAAAATCACGGCAATTAACGACTCGGACTCGGACCGACAAGCCATCAGCGCATCAAATACGACCCCAGCGGTGATTGCGAGAACTGTTGATTGCAGTGAGCATACGGTCCACGGCAGCAACGTGCTATAAATACTGCACTCCTGGTGCCACCATCACCTTTATCTGCGAATGTCTCTGATGATGGATTCGAGTGAGAATCCGAAGCGTCAGGTCAATAAATTTCTTGTTCCAGCGAGCGATCGCATCTTCATCTTCTAAATAGGAGTTCTACAAACTCTAGCCTGAAACAAATGAAGTTCTATAACTGTATCTCAACTCCCCAATATCCACCTGCGTGGCATAGGAATAAGCCAAACCATTATAGCATTCCAAACTTCTTACCATCTAATGACAACCCCACAAATTACTTCGGCTTTTGCACTTCCCCACCAAAACTCCATTTAAATACAATTACCACCTAGTTAACCCACCTCCCCTTATGTACACTCAATCCATACACACTAACCCATGCACTCACACTTCGCCATACGCACCACCATATCCTCCAAGAACCACACACTTACCTCCATTTAGTCCATCGCCATTACTGAGCATTTATGCCAAGAAAGAGAAAGGCGCCATTTGCGGCAACACTGAGCAAAGGCCTGTAGGTCGCTCTTCAGGAGTTCGAAAATTATGTCCCACTCTGTCGGTTTATGTCTATGTGTAACTTTCAGATCATTGACATACATGAAGGACTTACCGTTCTGAAATGAATCGGGTACATCATTAACGAAAAGGCAAAATAAAAGCGGGCCGAGTACACTACCCTGAATGACCCCACTCCTCGAGGATATGGAGTTTAAGATAAGATTGGAACTATGAACCCGGTGTGTGCGCCCATCTAGGTAGGAAGATTTTAACTCCAAAAGCTTACCACCTATTCCGAAAGAGCAAAGTCTCAAGAGAAGAAGAGAACGGTCCACACGAACAAACGCCTTAGTGAAATCGAAATAGACTGTGTAAAGTGCAAAACCATTGTCCCTAGATTGGAGAACATAGTCAAAGAAAGAGAGCTGACATGTAGCACAAGATCGAGCTTTCAGGAATCCATGCTGAACATCACTGAGTAGGTTATTGTCTGTTAAGTGACACATCATCTTATCTTTGATCAATGTCTCTAAGATCTTCAAAGAGGCCGGGGGGGGGGGGGTTATTGGCCGAAAGCCATCAAATGACGTATATTGGTCATGCTTGGAAATGGGCAAAATGTGCGATTCCTTCCACAAACCAGGAACGGCATTACTTTCAAGAGCGAGATCAAATATCTTGCATAGGTGGCAAGATTCTTTATAATAATTCTGTCAGAATACCCGTTCTCATGATGCAGGTCCTCGATTCTTCTAAGTTCCTTATCAAAGCTATCAACCAAACAGCTTTTTCTAGCGCTTTCTGCCCAACAGCGGGCTAGACTACTCCTATTTTAAAGGAGTACAACACTGAAGAATTTCGTATATTGCCCAGAAAATGTGTCCTTTCGATAGATGCTTATTCAAAAGCTGACGTCAACTCTCCTGCTTTCATGGACGTCTAAGAAAGGTTGGGAGCCATTCGTGTCATTTACAAGGTCACACCTAACTACCCTAAACAACTTGGTCAGTTCCTACTAGCGACAGCAGAGGCAATTGCCATCAGGCTACAGATGTCGATCCTGTGCGCGCAGAATAACCTCTCGCACACTCCGCGTCTACCGTGGGCACGGACCGACTGACTGTTTGTATGTCGCCGCTCTCCCACCTCCCCCTCCCCCCTTGTCACACGGCTCTTCCTAACCCTCACTGTCACCTACTGTCGCCCCTCACTTCCCTTCCCTCTATTCTCATACCCCGTTTGTATGAAAAGACTAAACTTAATCGATTGTTCTTATCGCTCACACGTTTCAGTTTACACCTCGTTCCCATCCAAATGTACAGGCCGGATGAGGATTTATCAGATCACGCGTACGCTTGCCAAATGCTCTTCTGAATTACTCAATGGGAATTTTCGCAACTTTAAAACAATTACAATTAAATTAAACTGTTTGCTGTGGCTGATGGTTATTCTTATTCCGTACAGTCGTGTACAACAAAACCAGCAGTTTGTCCCATGTTGTGTGCTTTTTCTATATTTCGCCTTTATCGAATTCTCAGTCTGCGCCAATAACGATCGAGCAGTCCTCGCTTGCGTTCTTCATCTGCTTTCTCTTCCCTAGTTCTTAAGACCATTCACCAAAATCATTTCATGATTTTCTAGGTGATGTGTTGCGTAAGTGGGCTGTATAAACGTCATTAACTGTTTAATTTCTTGCCGCGCTCACTTAAACTCAGTTTGACGCTTCCGTAAGGTACCATTGGGCGCAGTTTTGCGCTTCATATAATAAAAAACAAATTATTAAGATGCCTTCGATGTACCGGATAACGCCACGCCATATGCTTAAACCACAAACTTTATAAAAGGCGTTGCCGCGGAATATTGTTACCTGGTCTCATTTTGGACGCGTACGGACAACTTCGTGGAAATGGTTACGAAGTGTAATGTCCCGCGAGCTCGGGGAGGGTACGGCTGGTAGATCACTAGATTCCGAGTGTAGCTTCCTCTTCTTAGTCAGGGATTCGGAGTCGGAAGTATTTGAGCCTAAGATATCCATTACACAAGCACTCACATACAGTCACGCAAATCGGTGAGAGTGTTAAACGACGATCGGAAAAATGCAACGGTTTATTGGGAACGAGAGGAAGAATATAACGAAAGCTTATTATGTAAACGTGCAGAAAAAGGTTGAACTATAACAAACAACGGAAAAACGTTCATGAGCGAAAACGTTAAGAACTCGGGGGAGTGTAGGGATACACGTGGAATACGCCGAAGAAAACTGGGCTGGAAAACAATTCAGCAAGCAGTATAAGCGTAACTGTACAATAAAACAGATCAGCGAAAAGTGTTTAAGATGGAACTTATCGGGGTGCGGCCGTTGACGATCGTTCACAGGAGATCATTCCTCACGATCGACCTACAAAAGAGTGGTCGTGATTAAAACACAAGAGTTTTTGTCCATCAGTTCTGTTGGGGTCTTACATAGCCCCCCTCTGAAGATGCAGCACTGTCCTCAGTGCTGTTGGGTATGATGGGGGAGGGTATAGTAACTTCGACTGCAGCTGGGGGGACCTGGTCATATGGGATAATGGGTAGGGAGTCGGGTGTGCAGGTGGGTAAACGACCGTGGTAGGGTTTGAGTTTGTTGAAGTTTGTTGTGAAGGGTGGTGCGTGGGGTTGGGAAGCATCGCGCAAGAGGTTGGTCGTGGGGGACGGTGCATCTAGGATGACAAAGGGGCCTTGCCACGGGTAGTGAAATTTGGCTGACACTCCTCGCGGAGGTATCGGGTTGTGGTGCATAACCAAGTCGCCGATTTGATGTGTGGTTCCGGTCGAACGACGGTCGCACTGTGTTTTCTGGTGGTTTGATGATGCACCGAGCGTCTCGCGTGCTGCGTTATAGGCGGTCCGAATTGTTTCGCGGAGTTGGGAGGCGTATGTGGTAACGGGGGTGGGGTCGGGTACGTCTAAGGGGTGTTGAAGGTCTACTGGAAGACGTAGGTCGCGCCCAGTCCATAGGTAATGAGGTGTGAAACCGGTGGAGGAGTGGATTGAGCTCCGGTATGCCATCAGGCAGAAGGGTAATTGTGTGTCCCAGTCATGTTCGTGATTGTCTTTACAAAAGGCGAGAAGGAGGTTGTGAAGGGTGCGGTTAGTTCGTTCGACGAGGCCGTTGCCTTCGGGGTGATAGGGAGTAGTGCGGGTTTTGTTGACGTCCAGCGTGCGGCAAACGTCCTGGAAGAGTCGAGAGTCGAAATTGCTCCCACAGTCGGTGTGGAAGGCTAGGGGGGCGCCCCAGCGGCAAATCCAGGATCTGTTGACGGCGTTGGCGACAGATGTGGCGTCTTGGCGGAGTAGTGGCACCGCTTCGACCCATTTCGTGAAATAGTCTATTATCACTAGTATGTATTCATACCCGCGTACGGATATAGGGAGGGGGCCGATAATTCTAGTCCCACGCGTTCTCCGGGGAAACCCGTGGTCATGGGTTGCATGGGAGCCCTGGGTGTTGGCACAGGAGACTTAAAGGATGCGCATGTATCGCAGGACTGGCAGAAGTGGTAGATGGATGCTCGGAGTTGCGGCCACCAGAACCTCGCGCGTGCGGCTAGTTCAGTGCGTTTCTGTCCACAATGACCCAGCTCGGCGTGAAGGTCGGCCAGAACGGATTCGACGAGGCATCCGGGTACCACGGGACGAAGACGTTGGGACGCGGAATCCCGCAGGAACAAAATGTCATTGTCCAACAGGAGGTGTGGCCACTGGTGTAGTAGGATGCGTGCGTTCTGGCTGGATCCTCGCATGTCGGCTTCCAGGGGTTTATTGAGGTTGTTCATCAAGTGGCGGTAAATGGTGGAGGTGTCGGGGTCAGTACGTTGTGCTTTCGCCCAGGTGTGGCGGGTAGTTTCCGACATCGTAATGGCATTTACGTAAGTCGCATGGTTTTCGGGTTCGGTAGTCGGGGAGTCGGGTAGTCGGGAGAGGGCGTCGGCGTTGCCGTGTTTATGCCCAGGCCGAAATTGGCATCAAAATCGAAATCTTGAAGGAATTTTTGCCAACGGGCGAGCTGGTCCATAGGGTCTTTAATGGACTGAAGCCACTGCAAGGCCTTGTGATCGGTTCGTAGTATGAAACGGCGTCCAATAAGTAGATGTTTGAACTGCAGTATAAATGTGATTATAGCTAATAGCTCTCTGCGGAATGTGCAGTAGTTCCGCTGAGCCTTCGTCAGCGTGTTACTCGCAAAGCAGACGGGATGTTCGACGCCCTGGGAGTCTGTTTGTGACAATACTGCACCGATGACAAAACCGCTGGCATCTGTATCGAGGATGAAAGGAGGGGCGTCATGATCGACGTTCGGGAGGGCTAGAAGTGGGTCGGATGCAAGGGCGGCCCGTAGGTTAGTGAAAGCATCTTCACATTCTGGGGACCATCTGAATTCCCTACCTTTCTCTGTCAGCTTGTGGAGAGGGCCGGCACTGTGGGCGAAATTACGTATAAACCGTCGGTAATAGGAGGCAAGCCCGAGGAAACTGCGTAGCTGCGTCTGGTTGGCGGGGGTCGGCCATGTACGGATCTGTTGTAAGCGGTCCGGTAGAGCGGCTATGCGTCCTGGGGAAATCTTATGGCCCAGAAATTGTACTTCTGGCCGTAGGAATGTGCACTTGGCCGGGTTCAGGGTCAGGCCCGCATCACGGAGGGCTTCTAGCACCTCTCTTAAATTGCGGTTGTGTTGTTCAACATCGGGTCCAAAAACGATGATGTCGTCCAGATATACGAGGCATTTGTGAGGGATAAGGTGTCGTAACACCTGGTACATCAATCGCTGGAACGTGGCGGCGGCGTTACATAGTCCGAAAGGAAGCGTCTGGAATTCGAACAACCCTTGGGGAGCGATAAATGCGGTCTTCGGGCGGTCTTTGGGATCGATCTCGACTTGCCAATAGCCTGACTTAAGGTCCAGGGTCGAGAACCAAGCTGCTCCGCCAAGGCTGTCTAGGGTGTCGTCGAGACGCGGCAAGGGAAATGAGTCACGGACAGTGACGGCATTCAGGCGGCGATAGTCTATGCAGAGACTGAGGGAGCCGTCTTTTTTGGGGACTAAGGCTATCGGCGACGCCCAGTGGGGAGGAAGACGGTTGTATAATGTGGGCTTTAAGCAGTTCGTCTATGATTTTGTCAACCTCTGCGCGGAACCGTACTGGTATTCGGCGTGGGGGTTGCCAAATGGGTTTCGCGTCATCCGTGTTAATAGTATGTTGCACCTTGCGGGTGCGCCCTATTGTATCGGTTGACCAGGTGAACAACCCGGGAAATGACAGTAGGAGTTTACGTAGTTTATTACGGTTGTCTGGCCCGACTACTTCTGTTGGAGGTAGGTTCGCATCGATGTCGGACGGCTCGAGTGTTGCGGCTGCTACCACGGCGTCGTACATCAGATCGAGGTTCTCAGATGGTATATGGGTGGGGGGGTCTGGGCGTGTCAGGATTGACAGACGACGACTCTTGGTATGGATAACGCAATCGTGGTCTGCCAGGAGATCCAACCCTAGAACTAGGGCCCACGGACTATCAGATGTCACTAGGAATGGATACGTCAATTCTGTGTTGTCTATAGTGAGGTCTAGGGTTATGCGACCTAAGAGGGGTATAAGGGTACCGTTCGCGGCACGCAGGGTATGGGGGGCGCTCGTGTGGTCGATCTGTTCGCGTAACTCGCGGGTGAGGCTGGAGTTGTTCACTAGGGACACGTTGGCGCCTGTGTCTACCAAGGCTGGTATCTTGTGACCGACTAGTGTAGCGGAAATTGTAAAAGGGGGTTGGTGAGACGAAAAAAGCCAGGTAAGTAGGAGCAATGAAGACAGACTTACTTGGCTGGTTGTGTCCGCATCGCCGAGCTTGTGGTCCGAAAGCTGCACAATAAGGACATCCGGGATTGTGATCCGGGAATCGCACTGGTAAAGTGGAAGGTCGTCTGTTGGGTGGGGGGTCGTGCGGGTGGGGCTGTTGGTGCGGCGTGGGGATCCAGTCGCTCTCGAGTGACACTCTTCGTAGAGCCGACATTGCTGAATAGCTGAGGACAGGCTGGCCGGTGGGTGTAACAGGAGTACACCGCTGGCGGTACGGTCCCTTAAGCCGGTGATGAACTGGTGGAGAATAAACCGGTCGCGGTCACTCTCTGGAAGGTTGGTGAAAGCCGCTGCAGCCAGACGTCGTAGGTCGTGGGCGAAGTCATCCACTGATTGGCCGGGCCGTTGTCGTAGCGTGGCGAACCGCTGATTCGCCAAGGCCGAGGCGTCAGGGCTGGCGAAGAGTTGCAAGAGGACTTCGGAGGCTTTTTGGAAGTCAGATTTGGGTGTTAGGCCGGCGTCAAACGCTAGCCTACGGGCGTGAGGGGAAAGAAAGCGTAGGAGGTAGCATACGTGTTCATGAGGGGGGACGCTCACTATGAGGAGGGAAAGGTCTTGGAGCCACTCTCGGATGTTCCGTCCTGGCCCGTATGGTTCGGGGGCTAGTAGTGGGCTGGGTCCGTAGGTATGTAGGGTGTTAGACAGTTGGGTGGGGGGTGTGGGTTGAATCAGGTGTGGAAGGGGGAAAGGGCCGGTGTGCTCACCGGCTGCCACCATTGTAATGTCCCGCGAGCTCGGGGAGGGTACGGCTGGTAGATCACTAGATTCCGAGTGTAGCTTCCTCTTCTTAGTCAGGGATTCGGAGTCGGAAGTATTTGAGCCTAAGATATCCATTACACAAGCACTCACATACAGTCACGCAAATCGGTGAGAGTGTTAAACGACGATCGGAAAAATGCAACGGTTTATTGGGAACGAGAGGAAGAATATAACGAAAGCTTATTATGTAAACGTGCAGAAAAAGGTTGAACTATAACAAACAACGGAAAAACGTTCATGAGCGAAAACGTTAAGAACTCGGGGGAGTGTAGGGATACACGTGGAATACGCCGAAGAAAACTGGGCTGGAAAACAATTCAGCAAGCAGTATAAGCGTAACTGTACAATAAAACAGATCAGCGAAAAGTGTTTAAGATGGAACTTATCGGGGTGCGGCCGTTGACGATCGTTCACAGGAGATCATTCCTCACGATCGACCTACAAAAGAGTGGTCGTGATTAAAACACAAGAGTTTTTGTCCATCAGTTCTGTTGGGGTCTTACAGAAGCCCCGCCCTATGCATCCACACCAATTTAGTTCTTTAGATAGATATGATTGACGATGTGTACGAGGAGGCATGAAGTTATGTTTTACTTAATAAAAATTTTGCGGATGAGGTACGGGATTATCTAAGCGTCCAAAGAACTCCTCATAGTAAAATGACAATTTTGAAATCGAAGTTGTTTATAAGGATCAAGTGGACAATTCCCTGGTCTGCGCTCTCTTTATGCATGTCTTTGACACCCTTTCTCTGTTAACCTTCTCCTCTTTGGCACATCTATTGTTCAATTTGTAAAAGGATTTATTGATTAGGATACAGTGTGTTTAAGAGTTATAGAGTATGGCAAGCTTAAATTATCAATAAATTGCAATGATTAAAGTGCAACCTTTTATCTCGAGATCTACGTTTTCAAATTTGCTGATTCCGAAGTTGTTGAACTTTAAAATTTACATCTACCCTTTACGCTTACTAAAATTAAATACAACAAGCTTTTCCGCTGCCAGTACAAACCGCTAGCAAGCCCGACTGGGCCCCTGTTGGTTTAGGCCAACACATGATCACCTAAATCTGCCTGGGCTCCTAGGAGCCCAGTAGCTTGAGATACAGGCACCAACATCGCGAGCTACGCTTTCTTGAACCCCTAATGCCAGTTTCCTTAAGCTGATATTGAGCCAACAGTGCCAGCTGGTTCTTTTGACAATTGCAAATTAATCATCTACATACGTATGTAGGGGTGGTATACCACCCCTGCTGGGCTAACAAAGCCCATAGCTGTAGTTTCTACCTCCTGCATTATGGCCTTTATTGGTGAGTTGTGTTTCGGTTAACCAATAAGACGTTCTCCGACCACCTTTTATATTCTTTCGTAAAGGTGAACTTTGTTTGTATGCAAAGATCTAAATTTTGTGGTTGGAATATCTGGAGCAATATCTGTAGTGTAGGAGTTCATCGGTAGTGTACCTAAGTCCAATGGAATCCATGTAAATAGGGACATCGTGTCAAGTGATTTTATTAAATCCTGAATCATAGGTTGTCTGGGAAGTGTTATCCATCCTCTGTCGAAACTTGGGAGATTGGGTGAAGTAGCCACTTAGGAATGTAATTGGGGGCACCGATCAAAGAGACTACCGTTCACGATTAAAGGCCATTTCATAAACTTTAGGAATCCCACACATCTTGAAAGTTGTTTGTTTGCCGTGTTCCGGCTATTCTACAAGGCGTTCCAGTGCGTTATGAACACACGAGTTCTCCGATTTTATGCTGACGACAGGAATTAGAATCTATAATCCCCCACCCCTCCTCCCCGGAGCAACTGCGAAACTTTGGCTGCTCTGCGTACGCGATATTTTCTTTATTGTTGATTACCGAGGGAAAGTGTTTTAACCCAAACTGCAGCTATACGTGAGCTGAACTTGCTTCCTAAACATTTTCGGGGATAACTTTCATTTGCAGATGTCCGGAGGTTATCAGGGGAAACCACGTGATCGTTTATATTTGCCATGTCCTGCTTGTGTATCATAACTGGGCTATCTGTACACATACATACAGCCAACCTCTTGTACAAGGACGGCAGAAAACCGACAATGCATCGGAAAGAGGGATAAAAATGAACAAAAGTGGGCAAATCAGCTAGCGGTTGCAGAGGTATAAAAATCGTACGTTAGGAAGGCAGAGTACGCTTTTTACTGACGACTGTCAAGAAGAGGCGGACGTATTTACTTGCATCAAAGAATGTTTTCCTCCTTCCGTTCCCCCAGACGTCGTTGCAGCTAGAAAAACCACGCCCAACCCTCCTCTTCCTACTGAGCGTATAGTATTGCCACGACAAATCGCTGTAAGAGGGTTGGCTTTCAAGGTTTTTGTCATGTGTTCTGCCCAGAATTGTGGAATTTGTCATGGAGATCGTTCATTACTCTTAAGACATTCTCCATCTGAACACGCGAAACGGTGACCCGACTACTTTTCCCAGTAGACTTTTGATTGTATCGCCTGTCTGTAACTGTTTGGCTCATTTTTCTACTCAACAAAGCTTTATCGAAGCCATATTTTCCTCCTTTCTTACTCGCCGCCCCACGCAGCAATCAAAATATATGCACTAATATTGCTTAACACCTTTAGGAATCTACATTCTGGACGAGAAAGCAAGGCGTCTCGAGTTGCACTTTGCCCTTCTAGGAGTCGATAAACCCCCACAGCAATACAGTGGCGTTGAGTCGGTATTTTGATAACCATGACTGGAGAGGTAAATTCCAAATGTGCCATTCTAGCATGTTAGGCCCCTTCCATTTCTGACTTCGTTTTAATAAAACCGATAAGTCGGGGAGCCTTTGGGTAAGCACTTTAACCTGACTATTTCCGTAGGAAAGTATTCTTGGGTGCTAAGAAGAAGGACCGCAGTACGCTATATGCAATCAAAATAATGTCAAAGGAGGAGATGAAAAAGAAAAATT